CACATTATGAAGTTTTTCAGATATTTGGACTTAATTAACCCAGAGAGACCCAGATGACAATAAATCTGAAATTTGAATTTTTTTTATTGAACAGCACAACATATTACATCATGACTTAAAGCCATAACTCACAATAATAATGGTGTGATACAAGACATAATCCTTATACTTGTTTTCACGGCATGCCAAGATTGAGAAACACACATTTAAATAAAATTGCTTAAACTAAGAGGCTCACAAATCCAACAAATCAAGAACTTTGACTATAATGAATATCAATCAAAGGGAATGTCCTTGAGAATGTCTCTCAAAACATTTCTAAAGCGAACCAGGCTAGAGTTGAAGATGTCATGGTTGGTAAAGCGAAGGCTATATTCCTCATAAAGTCGACATAACCCTGATAGGGGTTGATTCCGGGAGATATTATTTCACGATAGGGGTTTATCAAATACTTTTTTCATAGGTCTACGTGGGTTGTATTTTATGTTAAAATTTAACAGTTCCAAAACATCGGGGCTGTCCAGTTCCGAGTACATTATTTTGTGTAGGTTAACTAGGCCCAATTCGTCGCGACGGAGATGGAGTGGTGTCATGTCAAACTCTTTGAGCCTCTCAGAATATGACCGGAGTCTTTTATTGTTGCCGGTACGTAAGCTCAATAAACGCAAAAACTTGAATTGGATCGATTGAATGCGCTCAGAGTACACTGCGTAGTATGGATTCCATATTATTAGTATGCACCTTATTCATTATATTCTAAATTACTTCGAAGCATACACATATACAACCAAATTAAACTTTAACGGTTCCTGAAGTGCCTGCTCTGTCTGGTAACGAAACCTAGTACCTGGTTAGATTTTTTGGCTATGAGATCGTAATGTTGGCGGAAATTAGGCTGTTCGTCAAATACGACCCCGAGATCCCTGATAGACGACACACGAGACAGAGTTTGTTGTTCTAAGATATAATTGTTTGATACCTTGTGTTTTTAAGTGTGTAGGTGATGACAAAGCATTTTTTGACATTAAGGAACATGTTATTTTCTATGCACCAATTAGACAGGCTGTTTAAGCCTTTCTGTATGATGCGAGTGTCGTCAGCTCCTCCAATTCTATTGAAGATTTTTAGGTCGTCAGCGTATAACAGGCAGGGGAACTAAATTTTCTCAATGAGGTCATTAATGATGGTCACAAAAAATAACGGGCCCAAATTGGATCCTTGTGGAACACCGGACTTAATGAGGATTTCTTCTGATATGTACCCCTTGACGGTCACTAGCTGACTCCTGTTTTTCAAGTAGGACTCGAGCCAACGCAACAGACTGCCGTGTATACCATATGACTCGAGTTTCTTACATAAAATTGTGTGATCCACCTTATCGAACGCTTTTTAAAGTCGGTATAACATCTACCTGACCACGGTTGTTAAAAACATCGCATATGTAGGTTTTGAAGTTAAGAAGGTTACTAACTGTCGATCTCCTTTTGATGAATGCGTGCTGCTTATTTGATATAAGAGTTTTTAATTGTAAAATGGAGGTGATCAAATAATTTGGATACTGCTGACAAAATGCTTATCACTCTATAATTTTCACAGTTGGCTCAGTCACCAGATTTAAATATGGGGACAACGTTAGCTTTTTTCCAGCGAGAAGGGAACACACCGCTGTTCAGTTATTTATTAAATATTAGCTGAAGCGGGCGACATAGTTCAACTGCGCATACCCGCAGGAATATAGGTGGAATGCCGTCAGGGCCGGCTCCCTTATTGGATTCAAGACAAAATTCCTCAGTTTTGTAAATATTTCGTTCTCAGTGAGTACGATTTTAGTGAGAGGATTATTTGTTTGACTACAACAATCAGATATACCCGATCCACGACTATAATTTTCGAATACTGATCCAAAAAATTCTGATCGCATATTTCCTTACCACCAGCAGCCGTTGTTAAACCAAATGTCTTTGAGTTGGGGATACTCGAGTTGTTGCGTCCTTTGCTGTTAATGTAACTCCAAAACGACTTAACGTCTTTTGTCAAACCATTTTCGATAGATCAGATGTATTTATTGTAACTACAGTTTATGAGTTTTTTGCATCTAGCTCGAAGGAGGGAGAATGTATCGTTATATCGTGGGTTTTGTATTTTTTGTAGCGCACGTGGTATTTGTTTTTTTCCCGCATAGAACGACGCAAGCCAGGACTAAACCATTTGGGATATTTATTTGAGCGGTTCTTAACTGTGGGAGTAAAATCGTTAATAATTTCGTAGATCTAATAATCTACTAAAAGTACAACTTTTTCCAAACAGAAGATAAGTAATTAAAAATAAAAATGATTTTGTGAAAAATAATTGTATGTGACCAATTGTGCAAATCATGTTAAAAACATCCCTACTTATCTAGCTACCCAACGAAGTATCAATTTAGCTTGTAACTTAAGGAGTACAGAAAAAACTTGAAAAAAAGGGGTCAGGTAGACAAGTTCCGGGAGTAGCAATGTTTTGGGTAATCCCAAACAATCGCTTCTCGGAACCTGATCAACAGCTGCGGGAATGCTCGTAAAAGATTGTGCGTTTGAACTTACGCTATTGTTTACATTTAGTGTGAAATTAGAAACAAGTTAAACAAGAAGAAACTGTTCAATCAGTCATCAGTATTACAGGCATCGTACACACGCGCGCATATCCCTCCCTGTTACACTTAAAGAAGTTGAGTTTCAAAGTTTTATGGCGGCGGAACCACCGAGACGCGGAGATCATGCAAGGCAATCATTTTCCAACGAGAATCCGCAGATATCTTTTATTTCTATGGATATTGTGACGTTGACGCTGCAGCGTACCCCGCTACCCTAATCGCCGACCACCCCATGTCACAGTGTTTAGTGCAGTTTATCGTAGAGTACGAGGGACTGGAAATGTTCAAGGGCAACAACGTGATGCTGGCAGGCCACGTGGCATACCCCGTATACTGCGTGCGGAAGATGAAGAAATTTTGAGTAAATTTCAAGAAGATCCAACCACTTCCACGAACATAGTTGCTCGAGGTGTATGAGTGGAAGGTCTGTACTGGTCTGGTACACTACACACCAGTGCATGTGATGGAAGAAGGAGATCCAGTTGGAAGATTGGATTTTTGTAGATTTGTGTTGAACGCAGATGCAGAAGATCCAATGTTTTTTAGAAAAATATTGTGAACTGATGAGTCGAAGTTCGATCAAGACGGTATTTACAAATTACCATAATTTACATTTTTGGGCTCTAAAAGAGCAAAGAAATCCTGGAAAAGAGACCTTCTAAATCACAAAGAAGATTTTCGCTAAATGTTTGGATGAGGATTATTAACGACAATTTAATTGGGCCTTATTTTCTGCCAAACTATTTAAACGGCGAAAATTATGAAACATTTTTAAGAAAGGACTTATCCGGATTGTTACACGATGTTCCTCTCGCCACAAGGCAAAACATGTGGTATCAACATGATGGGTGTCCTGCGCACTGTCGTGTAACTGTGCGACGATGGCTGAACGAAAATTATCGACATCGGTGGATTGGCAGAGGAGGACCAATTCCATGGCCAGCAAGGAGTCCTGACATAACACCGATAGATTATTATGTCTGGGGGCACATAAAGAGCATTGTATACTGCGACAATGTGCCAGTGCCGAACCTTGATCAACTGAGAGACCGCATTATCAACGCGACAAACGACATAAGACGAACATTAACCTCAAACGTTATTAAAAGCGAATTAAGAAAACGAATGCGTGTCTGTATACGGAATAGGGGCTCCCATATTGAGCAAAATTTGTAAATCGTGTTAAAATAAATAAAGTTAATTTCAATCAAGTGCTTTGTTTCATTTCCTTAATTAATATTGGTTAAAAATACAACACAAATTCCTTTGTCTGCTTAGAACTCGACTACCTGACCTCATTCTTTAATATTTTTTTTCTGTTTCTACATAAGCAAACTACAAAGTTGATACTTCATTACCAGGTACCTAGATAAATAGGGATGTTTTTAACATGATTTGCACAATTGATCACACAAAATTATTTTTACAAAATCATTTTTATTTTTAATTACTTGTCTTCTGTTTGGAAAAGGTTGTACTTTTAGTAGCGTTACTTCGAAAATGATGAGACTTTTTGCACACTGTAGTATTGATAAATAAGTATCCAGGTTTATCATTAAGTAAAAATAATAAAATGAAAATAATACAGCTGTAAGTATTTTTTTTTTTTTTTGAAATTTTTGACGCCAGACTTTTGGGATTTTCGAAAAAAATAATTAAACCTAAATATCTCGAAATTAGTCCACATTTGCATAATGCATTTTATGGTTCATTTGATAGGTTATGACCCCAACTATCACGCCTTGGCGGTAATACGTCGAATTACCAGTAACTCTATATATGCATACTTAAAAATATGTAAAAGGATAAGATTACAAAAATAAAAAGAAATACTTAAATTAGAGTACTCATAATACAGGGTTATTAGGCAGCAGCTTTGATAAAGAACTAGTGTCTCTTATAAGTATAGCAGGGGATTCTTCATTTTTACGAACGTACGACCGTATTTTCCCCAGACAAATTTGTAGTGGTTAGTTTTAGTCAATTGTCTTTCCGCGGCGTGTACTGCCTTGCATTCAGCTGATAGTTGTTCCGATAAGTAGATATTGTATTTTTCGCCAATTAAGCTCATATGAGATGAGTTTAGCGGACACAACTTGTTTGCTTTATTGAATCTTCAGAGAGATGATAGTGTCGCGGTGATGTTCCGAGTGCAGCGTTGCAATAATATTGCGGGGACGGTCTGACGAAGGGTTAATCTTTGCAACACGGCGGATAGATTTTATGTCTGACTCAGCAATAGGGCAACTTATGGCCTTACACAATTTCTTCAACCCATAAAATAAATTTTTTGACGGTTTTTCGGGTACCGACTGGATTTCAATGTTGCTGTTTCTTAAGGATTTGTCTACGACCTGCAGAGTTATATTCATTTGGGATAATTCGGATTGTAGTTGCATCTTTCATCTTCAAGCTTGCGGACATTCTCTGACAACGTCTTAAGTTCAGCTTTTAGGTCCCTTTGCTCCTCCGCAAGAAAATCTATCGTTACGGTGAACTCGGATTTTAGTTTGACTGTTTGATCACTAACTTCCTTCGTTATTGTTCTGGATGCTTGAAAGCTTTCCAGTTTAGTATCCAACTTAAAATCAAGAAGTCTCGAGAATTGGTCCAGTGTGATACTCGCAGCGGGAGTACATCCAGATGATGTGGGTGTATTTTCAACTGAGTCCATGAAGTCGACTTATTTCAACAGTGGTTTCATTAATCGTGAGGTCTTCGCAGGACATGTTAGATTCATCCATGTTTTCTAGTTGTTTCCAAACAGGCGTATTGCAGTTGTTTCCCTTTCGCCTAGTTATGTTGATGTAAAGTGGACAAATCCAGGACCTTCTCAGTTCGCCCAGGTTAGCTTTGTAATAAGATTGAGTTATGTTCAGGCATATGGAATCGTAATGTGTCATACACTGTATGAATTGGAGCACTTTCTCGCCACTAATTCAATTACTCCGCGCTTCCCGATTCATAGTGATAAAAATTCGCTTCTATAATATATTCGCTTGAACAAAAACCGTTTATTCATACACATAGTTCAAAGATTGTTTTGATATATGATTTTTATGCTTACGAAAACTATTATAGTACTTTTTCAACGGTAGGTTACAAAGAGAGCGATTGTTTTCTCGAAAGCCCCGTAAAAAGCCCACGCAAGCAAGAGAGACGACGAATCGCTCTATTAAAACTCATTTTTTTATAACAGCAGCAGTATCACTAAGGCAATACAAGGTGACCTGTGTCCAACAGCGGAATCGTGTAGACAGGACTGCCCAGACGTCTCACACCTCTGACGCTGCTGCAGGTCGTAGGTCTAGATCTACATCACAGAAATAGTAATATTAAAACAATAGAAACGAATTCGCGATAAAACAGTTTACGAGTTATTTTATTAATTGATATTATTGATTGATTCAGTTTGACAATTGATAAGGCAAGCCCGGCTTTTTGGCTTCTATGGAGGCTTCACCGCTGAATATAAGTGCAATGGGAGAGTGGAGTCTCCTAACACAAGTTTTTGTACATAAAAGGAGACATCATTCCCGGTTATAATTTATGTATGATCATTTACTGAATAAACTATTTTTATTTATTATTATTGGGGGGGTATCTATATAGTTTTCTCATCTGGTTGGGTTCTATAAATATATAATTATAAATGAAAATGAAAAGATAAATATACATAAATATCAATAAAATAAAATAAATTCAAAAATACATAAATAAATAAAGATCCAACCAGATGGAAGCCCTCGGCAAGGGAGACCAAACGGACGAGAGTTAGGGGGAAAGGGAAAGAAACCGGCGGATGATGCGGGCAGTATCGAGGAGCACCGCCTTGTGCATTTGAGCCCGGAACGGTCCGTCACGTAGTCCCAGTCGCCTCAGATGACCAGAGAGGCTAACTGGGACTAGCCCATTCACAGAGACGACTACAGGAATAATTTCGGTCGGCAGACCACCCCACATGTCGGTCACCTCGTGAGCTAGGTCCAGATATTTTGATTGCTTATCTGTTTCGGCTTTCACGAGGTTCTCGTCATACGGGTCGGTAATATCGACCAAAAATATCCTTGACTGTGCCCGGTCCATCAGCACAATATCAGGCATATTCGCAAGGATAGTCCTGTCTGTGATGATGGCCCGGTCCCAGTAGAGCCTGGCGCGGTCATTTTTAAGCACGGCTTCCGGCAAGTACTCGTAATATGGTAATTTCCGGTCCACGAGATCGTATTTCAGAGCGAGCTCCTGGTGTAGTATTCTGGCTACTAAGTTGTGCCTCTGCAAGTACTCAGAGTTAGAAAGCGCCGAACAACCGGAGATGACATGCCTAAGTGACTCACCGGGATGGCGACAAGCTCGACAGACGTCGACGGTGTCATCCTTTAGGATGTATCTCCGATATTTGTTAGTCTTAATAACCTGATCCAGTATTGCACAGACAAAACCCTCGGTTTCCCCGAAGAGGTCACCGAAACGTAGCCAGTTGAGGGAGGCGACTGTATCTACGAAGGGCTCATGAAGAGCCCTGTAGTACCTCCCGTGGAGCTCCTTCTCCTTCCATACGGTCTCCCGGTCGGAAATGTTAAGCACTGCTGGGTCCTGCCATTGCTCGTTGGCTAAGGATAGAGGGGTAAGCCCTTTATCACTAGAAATGACGTCATTATAGAATGGATCATCCGATCTCGCCAGAAAGTAATGACGGAGGGTCGACTTCGCTATTATGCAGATGAGCGCGCTCAGAAAACCACGCCCACCATGCTTTCGCGGCAAGTACAGGCCTCATTACCGACGTTCTCGGATAATGCATCCTATGGGAACGTCATGGTAGTGCGGACTTTTCTATCCAGGGCATTAAGTTCGGTCTGAGTCCACCTGAGTATGCCAAAGGTATATATGAGGACAGGCATGACCCAACCGTTATATGCGTGTGTCATAATATTCACACCGGACAAAAGGCTGTTAAGTACTTTGGTCAAGTGTGCATAAAACACGTCGCAAACTGACTGTTTCATACCAGCCTCATCGATACCGATGTTCTGTGACATACCCAGGTATCGGTATTATTCAGCCTCGGAAAGGGTCCTTAAGTTGACGGGCATAGATAAATCTATGCCCTCAGAGTTAGCAACCCTTCCCTTTTCAACATGGAGGACCGCACACTTATCCGTCCCCAGCTCCATTCCAATGGAATTGCTAAATTCACAAGTGATGTTTAGCAATTCCATAAGATGGGAGCGACTGGAGGCGAATAACTTAGGTCATCCATATAGAAAAGGTGGGTCACTTTTGTATGTCCCTTCCGTAGCTGAAATCCTCTCCCGGAGCCCTCCAGTAAGGTACTGAGAGGGTTCAGAGGGAGGCAGAACCAGATTGGACTCAGACAATCACCCTGGAAGATACCCCTTCGTATCCTTATGTGGTTCTCCGCAGCCATTATCCACTCGCCCAGATAACAGAGGATCGTACTCCACTGCCCCATACACTGCTCGAGGAAGTCTCTAACTGTACAGTCAATCTTGTACAGCTCGAGGACCCTCTTTAGCCATGTATGGGGCACCGAGTCGAATGCCTTTCTTTAGTCTATCCAGGCGCCGGAGAAGTTCCGACGATTGCCTTTCACCACTTTGCCAATGACCGAGTCAATGAGGAGTGGTTCCTTGGTTCCACGACCACCGCCCCGACATCCATTTTGAGCGCGTGACATCACCTGATTTAACTCCAGGTGAGTGATTCTCGCGCTCAAAATGCATGTCAGTGTCATATATAGTGGATAGACACGTGATGGGTCAGTATTTGCTTGGATCTGTGGTATCCTGATCTTTAGGAACCAAATGAGTGATCCCAGTAGTGAAGAGGCTCGGGAGCGACTTCTGGTTGAGAGCCTCTTGGAACTGTCGGGCGAGCACAGCGTGATACACCACGAATCCCTTCAGCCAGTAATGATGCAGCCCGTCGAGCCCGGGACTTTTCCAGTTCGGGGCCCTACGGACCGCCTCAGCCACGTCTTCTGGCGTTATGGTGACGGGGTCCATAGGCGTAACACTCGCACTCTGGCTCGCCACAACTTCCATCCAAGGGCCCTCGTTGTGGTTTACGGGCTCTGACCACAGGCCACGCCAAAATGCGACAGTGTCAGCCTGATCCGGTCCTGGGCCCGCTCCACATACCTCTAGTCGCCCCAATGATTTATAGAGCCCCTTTTGATCACTCTGAAAGAGACGATTCTGGTTGAACCGCCTTGACCTCTCGCTAAAGCGTCGATTCCGCTTCCCCCAAGCAGCGATTTTTTGCTTCAGGTCATCTATGCGCTCCGTTAGTTTCTGCGTGATATCCGGCTGGGACAAACTAATATTTGTCCCAGCAAACGCCATTCTAACGGTGCGCACAACTCTCGGTCTATTATTACCCGACCTGAAGCTTGTCAGTCTGCCGATAAGGGCCCTTGCCTTTGCGATACGGTCCTCAATTCTCTTTTTCCAGGCTGGGATGGCGCTACTTTGTCGAGTAGCACATTCAGCCATGGGAAGTTTGGCCCCAATAATACGGCATACTGCCAGTGCGGCATCAAAAAGAATTGAGTCCGTCTCGCAAAGGTCCCGGCTGGCTTCCAAATAGGTTACCAGCATTGGGTTAAGAGCCCGCACGACAGCCCGATTTCGCTTGCTAAGGGGTTGCAGGGAAGTCGCGGTCGATTTTCAAGAGGCATGCTGCGCGTTTCCAGCATCGACTCTACCAATATGCTCCTCATTTTCTCTAGTTCGTGGGGGACTATTCCATCATCGTCTGAATCAATTACAAATGGAATATTGACGGCTACATCCACATTTGCAGTTTGCTGCTCAATTAGTGGCGCCGCATTCCCAGCCGTAGCATTTCCATCCGATGAGGGAACAGCCTCACGTCGTAGTCGTTCGAGTTCGGCTGCTCCAAATATGTTGGAGTGCAGGATGTACCGAACTCGGTTTGCCAAGTTTGCTCAGTGACGGATAGAAATGGCTCCAGCTCTGCAATAAAGCGATGCATCCGAGCCCGATATGCCAAACATCCAGTTTATTCCTCTTTTGCCCTAAAGTACGCCCGCAGTGCGTTTGCGTTCATTGTTTGTGACCAACGCATGCGACGTGCCACACCAGCGGCAGGTGCCGCTTGCTGAGTCCGAGAAGACCCAGCCGACACCAAGTCTTCTGGTGGGGATGATGGATGCGGAGGGCTGCTAGGTGACCGTGCAGCTCCTCACGTTCGGCTAGCGGTCCGCATACTGCCACGTCCAGCGCCAGCTCAAGACGCACCCCGGCGACCCCCAGGCAGCGGCCCTTTGCGCTTTCCTCTTTGTGCCATCATCCATTTTATGGGTGCCAAAAAACAGGAGATGCCCAAGCCCGGCACCGTTTCGTGGTTCGGTCATATGCACAAACGGACCTTTGCACCAACAATTTTGCCTAGGCACGGCGCTCACACCTCTTGGCAGGGCGTTGACTGACTGCGCCGACGTATTTTAATCGGGGTCGTCTTACGCCTTTTATTATTATTATTATTATTATTAAATACAAATACTTTATTATAAATACTAAACATCAAAAAAACCTGTTCGGCAGACAAACCTGAATGGGTTAATTAACTTATCGATAGCTAAAGTTGTGGCGTAAATCACCACATTGCAGTACTTTCGGTTGCAGT